AAGGACTTGATCAGCTCCGTCAATGTGTTTCTTCATCAATATTCAATAAAAATGTTTTGATAAATACATTTTCTGCACTGATGTTATTGAAAAATTCATTATTCAGTAATAACTCTTGCCTTAAAGCTGAAGCATGTGATTTCTGCTAGTTTCTTGAACACACCCACCGTCTGCCATTGGTCAGTCGGTCTGATAGCTCCGCCTCAAACTCAAATCATTGGATGAGTCAGTAGCTATGTTTCTGTACAAAGTTGCGAATTACACTTGTGTGAAAAATTTGAAAATTGCGTGAAATATTTGCGAATAAAGCACCGTTTCCATTCCATGTGTTCAAGAGAACAAAATCATCACTTACTGAGAAACTAAGTATCAGTAATAAAATAATACAAAGTTGCTGCATCCGGTGAAGACTGTGACTATTTCCCCCTACATACTAAATGAAGAAAGGCACTAACTTAAAGCAGCACTATGTAACTTTTTCTGTGTTCAAAATTTGCAAAATGTATATAATGAGCGAGTACATCATGAATTCATCTTCCAAACCGCGTTTTTGTCTTATTCCGAATCACTCCGCTACACTTATAATAAGTACTTATATTCGGACTATTGTAGCCTGGTCACCGCTGCGGAGTAACACATACCTGCGTGAATCGCCAGAGACATAAACTTAGAGAAGTAGCTCCGGTCGGAATGTTCTTCCGCGGGATGTGTGCAGTTCTGTTTATTAACCGCTAGAGCGACAAAAGTTACAGAGTGCTGCTTTAATAACTACTGTCGTGTTTTCTTGTGTTTGGGTGCCTGATGTTTGAACACAATCATGTGTAATTACACCAAATCATTTTAATGACAGATGCTGGCTGAGGCATGTCAGAATTATTAATTAATTAAGCATTTGAGGTGGAGTGCGATGAGATCGAGTCAATGTTTAGTCCAGTTATCCAATCACATCATCTGTTGAGGCAAAATCATGTGAGTTTTTGTTTGCACACTCAGGAATTTATTTGGTAAATGTTTCCATCATAGTTTATGTGTGTTTTCTTACTGAATAAAAAAAATTATCCGCCTCAATTGAGTGCATGAGGTTTTTATGCACATTTTAAGATTTTATGTGCATCAAGGTGTTTACATCCAGAGTTCTTTCATGCAGTATCCCAAAATGTACATGAATATATGTGGATGGAAACACAGTGTGACAGTGTCAGTCTGATTGTAATGCTCAAGCACACAGTGTTGCAAACCACAAATGACTCTGAACATCAAACTGGGACAGGAGAAAGTATCTGAACACCCAAAACAACCACACACCTCAGCTTTAATGTTTTCTAGTGTAGTTCACTCGCTATCAACAGATATTCCATAAACATGCTGATCCTGAAACCGGAAGGTTAGTGTGTTTGCTTGATAAAGACTCGTTCTCATACACTAGTCTGTGTTTGTTCTCTGTGGTGTGTGTGTTTGTTTGGACACGCTGAGGGTTGAACCTGCGCAGACCTGCACCACATTCTTCACACATTATCCATCAGAACAGAAGAACAGAGTTATGATGGAAATATCCTGACGTGTTCTCCCGCATCTCTTCATGGATGTGCTCGTAACTCTGGACTGAAGGCACTGAGCTGTGATGGAGAAGACGTGACCCAGGTAGCCAAAATGGTTTGGCCCGAAAATGGCCCAGATCTGGCAGGCCGGAAGAAATAACTCGGCCCGGATGCGGTTGCCAGACTCGGCATGGACATGGGATGAATGACGCCCCAGAATCGGCCCAAATACACTGGCCCGAGTCCGGCTGCCGAAACCGCCGGCATTGGGCCACAATCACACAGACAAGAATTGAAACACATAGCCGGTACTGGCCCGAGTCTGGGTACTGAAACTGAGTCAACACCACCAGCACTGGACCACAATCACACCAACGAGTGGCCCAATGCCGGTGGTGTCGGCTCAGTTTCAGTACCTAACAGTAAAGCCTGCTTTAATTTGATTTGATCGCTCGTCTCACACAATCGACGAGGCAGCTCATGAGAAAGCCGGCTATGACACTGCGGTGACTCAAACAGCAGCAAAGGCTGGAAAGAGAAGATCAATGTTTCAGAAATATGATTTTGTGATAATAATTCCAAGAGCTAAAGATTACAGCGACACGACTGCATTTCACATTTCCTCAGGTTTCACTGTATCTGAATGTCATGTTTAACTTGACAAAACTCAGTGAACGGCTCTCACTGAAGCATCTGGAAATGAGTGTGTTTACTGAAGATATGATGTTGAAGACTGATTATTCTACTGGGATAAAACAGGCTAGTAAAAATAGAAGAAATGTTCTTTTTGTCACTATCATATGCTGGATTAAAAGCCGGAGTATGAAAGAAGATCTTAGGTTTTCAAACATTTTTTACTGCAGCTTCCTGTTTATTGCATGTTATCATGTCAAATATTTCTCATAAATGTCCAGCATTCAAATAATGAATACATGAATGAAAACTACAAGACAATTTCAAACTAAAAAGATAAAAAAATTGTATTCATATTTTGAATAAAGCGCATGTTTTTTCTAGTCCTGGAAACTGATTGGTCCTTCAAGTGCACTATACTAGTGGACTAATGTAGGGAAGAAGGAATGAGGGTATGAGGTGATTTCAGACACAGCCGCTGTCTGTATGAATGAATGAGTCACTGAATCATTCACTCCACTGATTTGTTCAAAAACACTGATTCATTCAGGAAGAAAGCTAGTGAATGTCTGCATCTGAAAGCACAAACTCTTTGAGCCTGTGCTTCTTTTGAATAAGTAATTACTTCACCACAGTTAAAAAAGTATGTTCTATATAGTGTAAATGCCATTCATGACTTGACTTTTTTTTTTTCACCTGCTGTTTTATGAATACTCTGAATTCTGACATATTGCATATCCGAATGCTTCCTTTGTCTTTATGAGTGAGTCTTTGAATCATTCACTCAACCAATTTGTTCAGAAAATCTGATTCATTCAGGACTGAAACACTGCTAACACTACCCAGTGTTACAACAATTCTGTTATGAATTATCACAATGGAAATTACATTTGTATTTAAATCAACATTAAAATCAAAGTGACTTATTTGCATGTTCCATATACTTTAATGATTCATCAGTGAGGTAATTCTACAGAAAAGAATGCTTGTCTTCATAATCAAAATGCAATAACTTGGTCCGCCTCTGAAATGACCTTCCTCTTCAGCGGATGCAGCACAGTTATATTAACCAGTAATCAGACATTGCATTGTCTTACTATGTGCAAATTCCAGCCTGTTCTGGTGTGAAACACCCACATATTTTATTTCCAGTCTTTTTTTCATTGGTATTTGTGTAGGACAGCATAGATTAATAATCACCAACTTTATCTAGTTAGTGGCACTCAGCATCAGGACCAGGAGAGCAGATCAAGCACATATTTTTACATTTAATCCAATCAATTCCTTATGATAAAATCAAAACTTTACATTTTCACCTCAGTGAATCTAGACCATTTACAGAAGTAGCAGTTGACATTGGTGTAGTTATCTCCGACTCTCTTACTGTGATGTGATCCTCTGGTTACTGATGAGAGAAGGAATGGAAGGACATCAGACTGTGGTTCTTATTCTGTTGCCATCAGATATGAAATGCTTAATGACAATAGTTCAAGAGCGAGCTGAATTGATTAGCATCTCCTCATCCACATGTAGAATTAACAAATGTCTGGTTGGACTTTCCAGCTTTCGGTGGAATTTTGACGTGAGTTTTTTCCACAGCATCTCTCTGTGTCGAGTTCTTTTCCACTCTACGGTCTCAGAATGACTCCCTTCAGACGTCCAGGACAGCCGTGTGGTCTCCGCATGTGGGCCAAAGATGTCACCTTCACCCACAAGCACCTCGTGAGAGCCAGCAGTCCCACAGGGTCACGCTCCACCAGACCTGGTCAAACGGTGCGACCGCCAGTCAGATTTCAGGCCCGGCTCACGCTATGCCAGCGCTGAAAGAAGGCTTTTCCTTCAGGCTGAGAAACCAGAGAAGTTTCTGGAAACGCTGGATCACACTGGCTCCCTGTGTGCTTCAGGGATGTGCTACTGCAACCAACACGTTTATGTTAATTTGAGGTTTGCATTTATGCATCTGGACGCTCTGAGTGTCTATACGGCTGTGGGAGTGACTTATGTGCTGCATACAGACAGGAGGATCATTTAGTCGTACAATAGCAGGAGCTCATTCATCAGGAGCTGCTGTACAGAACATCCGACTGTGCTACAAAACACACAGTATGTTATTGCTCTGAATGATTAAATAAAGAAAAAGGTATGTGATGTGTGCATTTAACATGACGCATTTATCAAGTGCAGCGTTTGTGCTCCAGTCATGAATGATTCTACTTCTGCTACTGCACTACATGATCAGACGCACCACTTTCATCTGACCAGGAGTGAGTCTTTTCATGCCAGACAGGAGGAAAACGCCTAGAAACCACCAGAATGACCAAAAATACACACAGTGGCCGCATATCAAGTGGCCAGAGCTCCCTTTAGTCATTCTTTAAAAAATATTGTTATGAAAAAAAGACAAATTAAAGAGAAGAACCTATAAACCCTTTTGCCTGATTTTTTTCTCCATTTATATGGCAATAAACACTCCGTAAAGATGCATTAAAGTTGTAGTGGTGGCGTGTTATTGGTCTCTTGGCTGTTTCTTGGTCTATTTGATCAGAAGCTTTGATGGATGGACCATCCGTTCAGTTTTTTAGACCGCAAACTGACAACAACGCAAGTCTGGATCCTTCTCTTGATTGCTTCAGGTTTCCTGACAAGTTATCAAGAGTTACTTTGTATTTCTAAAAGTCAGTTAAAGAAAAATGAATGAAAAAGAATGGCAAGTTTGATTCAAAAGCCTTTTGTAGCATATGATTATGGCAGCAATGAAACCAACTAAACTACAGTTCCATGCATTGAAGAAGCAGAAGCTTTTATTCAAAACTGAAGTCAGTTAAATGTCTGCACAGAGAACATGTGCATTAGCCAGTAGCTGGACTGATGGAGGAGAAGGAAAAACACACAACAACTACAGACATGTGGCCCGTTTCCATCCAGCGGTTCCTCTTACACACTTTCTCCATGCACTGCCGTCTAGAGCCCAGCAATGCTTCTCATTGTGCTTCTGTGCTCTGTTCTTCTGCTCATATAACATCTATAAAGCCAACAAAATATACCCTGGTTCCTCCAAACAGAAGACGTGAGGTGGGAGAAACTGTGGTGTATGGACGGCTTTATTTCACCTAAATGTGTATTAAATACATGTTTGAACGTTTCTAGAGACTTTTTCTTTGATCAAAATGACAGAATGACGCACATTATTTGGAGTTGAATGCACTACTGTAATAATTAGAACATTTAAACAAAGCTTCCGATGTTAAATCAAAATCTTGTTACATTATGTTCTCACTGGAAAGCTCATGATGCATCGAGAAAAACTGATATCACTGAATTAACCTAAATACATTCATTTATACCAACAAAGCTTATTTTTATGGGTTAAATCATGTAGAAAAAGGTAGCAGTTAGATGTACCACGTTTTGCCGTGTAGTCATCACAGATGTTTTTATGATTTATTTCTAATCATGAAAAACCCTGTCAAACATCTTCTTGTTGTGGATATGGTTTGCCAAAATGTGCTTAAAGTATGACACTAAGAAGACTGAAATAAAGTTTAATTACAAAATGGTGCTGATACACTTTCATTTGTCCGTCCGTCTTCAGTCGATGGGTCTGATCATCATACGCACAGACTTCATGGAGTAAAACCCCCCTCCATAATCGGCCCAGAATACGCCGTCCTGAAAGCGGCTGCGATAGACTCCTCCAGAGTACCACACGCCGTTCAGATTGGCCTGACCGCAGGCGCTGTACCACCAGCCAGCCTTGTGGAAATGAGCACAGTTACCTGAGAGACAATCAACAACCAACATCTTCTCTCAATTAATGCATCTTGATTTAAGAATGTTTAGATATTTGCACTGGAAAACAAGACTTATTTTGTTGTTGTCCTTGTAAACATGTCAGTCTGAATGACGTACCGTGTGTGATTCAGTTTGAATGACCCACAGTGACCCAGGGTTTATCATGACACGCCATTAAAGGGGTCATATGATGCGATTTCAAGTTTTCCTTTCTCTTTGGAGTGTTACAGGCTGTTCGTTAATAGATAAGATCCCTAAAGTTGCAAAGACTAAAGTCTCAAACTCAAAGAGATATTCTTTATAAAGTTAAGAGTCAGCCACGCCTACCTAAAACGCCTCGTTCTAACACGCCCCCACGTATCTACATCACGATGTGGGAAGATTTGCATAACGCCGCCCAAATGTAGGGGCGTAATATTTCCGTCACACGCTTGAGGTATTCGGTACAACGCACTGGATAGCTGGCCAATCAGAGCACACCTCGCTTTTTTAGAACGATGAGCTTTGTAAAAATCGACGCGTTTCAGAAAGGCAGGGCATAGAGGAGAAACAATAATGTACAGTATGTGGAAAATAATGTGTTTTTTTAACCTTAAACCGCATAAACACATTGCATTACACCAAATATACAAAATAATGTTCTTTTTAGCAACGTCATATGACCCCTTTAACCATCTCACGTGTGGTGAAGGATCACCTGAGAAGGCGTCATTGTCATGGTCCAGCGTGGTGAACTGTTTGCCGTTATGGCTGCTCAGTGAATCCCCAGCGTTGCCCTGGTAGGTTCCCAGACGCAGACGGTACGCCTGGCTCTCGGGCTCCAGGTGGAAGCTGCTGTAGGCTGCGTAAACCTTCTTCCCCATCCAGTCCTCCAGCTCCACCAGCAGCTTGTAGTCTTCCTGTTTGCCCAGGTTATAGATGTTTTCCAGACCCAGCCAGTGTTCACCATCCACATCACCAAAGCCTTTCTGGAGAAAAAGCAAAGAGAGCTGAACACAGCGATTTACAGCAGGCACTGTTATCATTACCACCGCATTGGCCTTTGAAATACTGGAAATGCAAAGTAACTTCAGGCTTCTTTGAACAACAGGGTTTTGGGCTGATGAGGGACGTTAAAGAAATCCCTGCTGATTTCAGCACATTATTATTATTTCACTACAGCAGTAAGCATGCATGAGTTCAGTTACAGCGCAAACACACCTGCAGCAGCTCAGCAAGCGCTTTGGCTGCACTGAAAGTGTGTGACGCTGAGGTTTAGGAGGCTTCACTGTGTCTGTGTCTGTGTGTGTGTGTGCATGCGTGTGTGTGTGTGCGTGTGTGTGTGTGTGTGTGTGGCTCAGAATGAAAGAACCACTGACACACGGGCATGAGTGCAATCAAAACAAACGGACACGAGGTGCAAATCCTGAAAACCAGATCCAGCTGTTTAGGAGCTCCATCACTTTTACCTTACTAGTGTTCCTCTGAGACACATTCTCCAACAACGTCAGTCTGATTCTCTGACAAACATGTGTGAATCGCAGCTCATAGAGACATGGTCCAATTCATATAATCCTTTCATTTCTGTATAGAGTGCTGCAGGGATGAGGTATTTTTGTAGACCAAAACCTGGAAACCAGTTGCATTTTAGCACTTCCAGTTCCATCGTCCTGAAGTCAATGGGTTTTTTGAATGGGTTTTTGGTTAAATGCCCGAAATACGGTCTGTGTTTAACACAAGTTTAAGATATTTCCATGTTTTATTCTACGGCATAAAATACATCAGTAATACCTGCTTGTGTGTGTGTTTTTTAAACTTCAGAGGTTGTTGTCACATTAAACACCATCATGCCAAACACATTAAATCATCTACTCACTAGTCACTTTCACAGCCTCGTTGTGTTTAGAATCAAACTATTCTAACTCACACTTTCAGAAAGAGTTGTTGAATTTTAATGGTGGTGACGTCAAAGTCATGTGACTGTGGTATAGTTTGTTTCCCTTACGAAACAAAATATATGGGAATATACTGCAAAATATGATGCAATATATTTCATAATACATTTCCATATATGGGAAACTAGTGCTTATATTTTTCAATATTCTGCAGTATATGCACTGACCATGTATGGCTATTGATACATATTAAAAATATTTAGAAATTAAGACAAAATAGCATTACATGTAATATTCATAAAGTATTATCCTTTGTTGTGCACATATATTCCACATACATGTTCCCATATAAATGTGAATGTATGCACACACACACACACACACACACACACACATACACACATTGACAGAATGAGTTACAGCAGATTTCTAGTTCCCAGCATGCTTTGCTTCTGACTGTTAAAGGAGAGTAAATCTTAAAATTAAGAGATCTGTTAGTGTTTAATGTTCTGTTATTTTGTTGAATTTAAAAGGGTTTCTGGTATGTCTGAGTTTGTGGGGTAACTGTTGTGCTGAAGAGTAGAGTCTGTGGATAGGCTGACGATTGGCCGAACACTAATAAGACTATATATTACTTTATATTGTCACATATTTTTCAAAATATGAAAGTGGCTATTCCTTATGTATTGTTCAATATATTGTAATATATTAACACAATATATTATTCTGTGTACTTTCAAAATACCATTCAATTTTGAATATTGATCATTCATATATAAGGAAATATATTTTCTTTGCATAAGGGTTATAGCCTACGTTTAGCTTTTTACTTCTGCCAATTGTATTTCAGCCTCAAAAAAGTTATTCTTTTGTGAAGATTATCATGATGCACAAGCAACCCAGGCTCATTGAAAATGTGTGCTCATGGAGATATTTCTGCAACACCGATCTTTCTTATTGCACGTTTCGTGGCAGTTTCAAAGTGAAATGTCCAGTGAGTGGCACTAAAACGCAGGTTCAATATATGACCGTGGCCCTGTTTTTATTATGTTGGTTCGGGCACGTATTGCGGCGGTTCAGAATTCACTAAAAGGTTAATGCTCTATCGTGTTGGAAAACAACATTCCCACTACAGCAAACCCAACCCTAAACTTACCCGATAATGTTAACGAATGCAAAAGTGATATAAAAACGCATTCGTTGATGCAACCGTGCTATTTTAACTTCCTAATACGTGGGTTTGTTGAACCGTACACTGTAAAAAAAAAATTCCGTAAAATTTACGGTAAAAAACGGCAGCTGTGGTTGCCGGAATTTTACCGTTAAAAATATGTGGTTGCCGGAATTTTACCGTAAAAAATATGGTAGCAACGTTTTAGGTTTTACGGTTTTAACTTAAATTTACAGTTAAATACTGTAATTTCATTTACTGATATAATGTTAATATACCAACCTATTGAAGTACTGAAATCTGGTTGTACCTTTGTAATACACTGATAACCACCAAAAGCAGGTGGTGATGAGAAAGTCACAGAATGAACCAAAGCCCATCACAAGCAGCTTTTAAATAATAATATATATAGAAGGTGCACAGTGTCATTCACACAAATACTAAACACCATCATGGTAACCCACATGAAACTGAAATAATGCAATAAACATTAATTAACATTAGGTGTAACACACAACCCTAATATATATATAAGAAAAAACTAAGAAGAAACATAGTTATTTCAACCAAAAAAAACATCAAATTTGAAATGTAACGCAGGGAATTCTGAGAATGTCAATTTACGGTTATTCACGGTTATATCTTTTTCACTTCCAAAAACGGTATACTACTGTACGGTATTTTTACAGTATTTTACCGTTAAATTCACAGTAATTTTTTACAGTGTAGTTTCACAGGATTCGCTTCACCGCAAGTGCAACACCGTATCGGGTGAGCTACCAAGCAAACCTACTGCATTAGAAACTCATACATATGAAGCTGTATATGTGACGCTAATGTTCAAAAGTATCAGTTTTCAAATCTTGCAGCATGTTAAAATTGTTGAGGTCATAACATAATATTGTGCAAGAAATTGTGTGAAAATTAGGCTTTCTTAATCGAAACTCTTGTCCTGTAAATCATAATTTGTGTGAAAAGGAATAAAAGTTTTACTGCCTCTGGAAACTGTAGCGAGTTGTACGTACAGGTACGTTTTTTGAGTTTTGAGATGTAGATAGGAGCATGTATTTCCAATGAGCCTGGGTGGCGAACAAAACATGTAACAATCATAAACTTTTGTTGGTCACAGGGCTTATTTTCTGCAATAATCCAAAAGCCAAAGGAAAAATCCTACTGGGTTTTTGTCAAGGGAACCAGAGTAATGCAAACTTATGGTTTTCCTTACAAAAATGCGTCACCACTGGAGCACTCTATTGCTTTTCAATATTCTCCAAAGATTGCACTGTTATTCTGCCATGTGCTTTTGTTTCATTTTCATTGGAATATTGGCATTTATCTCTGTGTTTTTGATGACAAAGTCATCCGTTACTGAATCATTCAAAAGAACTGGTTCAAAAGAGTGATTCATTGTGAATCAGACATCGCTACCTTATAGCTGTCCCAGTTCCTGAAGAAGTTGACAGATCCATCTTTCCTCCTCTGGATAAGCGTCCAGCCGCCTCTGTCTACATCATGCTCACACCAGGCCTGTACAGGTGTCTCCGTCCCGTCCGGCTTCAGAAGATACGTCCCGCTGGTGGAGTGTCCAGCCTGCATCGCCTGAAGACAGTCCCGAAATGGACCTCGAGACACCAGCACACACAAGTGAGTGAACGCACACCGCTGATGAGCAATGAGCATCAGTAAAGCTCTTCAGTGCTGACATATGTCTTCAGTTATGCTCTTCTGCCTTTCAGATAGTCCTTTTGTTCTCTGTAGATTACCGGATACCTGTGTCTATAAGATTAGTGGCTAACAAGTGAGAGAACTAATAGTAACAGGCCTATAGTTTAAATGTTTTTTTTATATTTTTTATTGGGTCTGATTAGGCTTTTGTACATTATATATCGCACATTTCTGCTCTTGATTTACATTCATGCATTTGGCAGATGTTTTTATCCAATGTGACTTGCATTGCATTCAAAGTATACATTTTATTAGTTCTTGCTTTCCCTGGGAATTGAACTGATGAACTTGGCATTGCAAGTGCAGCGCTCTACTGTTTGAGGTACAAACCTCCGCAATTACTTTTTAATGACTGATTATTGTGCAAGTCTTAGAAAACTAAACTTGTGAAAAGTTTCTAACATCAAGTAATATTATGCATGTTTTTCACATTTCACAAATGTGAATTTTATAGCTCTTACCATTCAATTCTGTATTTGTATTATTCATTTTCAGGCATGATTTAATGTTTTCATTATTTACATTAAAATGTATGCTATATTCTTCCAACCAACTTCTAATCCTAAACATAACTGTTGGAAACCTTCTTGTTTATATAATAATTTATATATTATATATTATACAGTTTGCAACATAAATATGTTCATCTAAATATGTTAATATAATCTGTACAGCTAAAATAACTGGAAGTGACGAACACCAAAAGCCTTGCACATTCAAGTTACAAATGGCCGTGCATAAAAAAAAAGATGAAAAGACTATTTAAATTAATAATAATAATAATAATGGGTCTAGTCTTTACACCTGTTTGTTTCAGGTTAGAATCAGGTCTGATGGATTAGAATTGACTAGGTGGCGCTGTCACAAAAAAACTAGGGTCCTAGAAATGCAGTCCTCAAACTGCAGCCTCTGGTATTTCAGGATGATTCTATTGCATAAATGTTGTTACAGAGGAGGCTTCCGTACCGCCTCCTCCTCGCCACCAGAGGGAACTCTCTCCTGAATATTAACTTTATCCATTCGGACTCCAGTTCCCATCATGCCTCATACCCGGGACTGATTGCACGCACACACCTGCATTGAATCACGCACACACATATAAGCCAAACACTCACAGCTACTCACTGCGAAGTCTTGATTTGCCCCGGCTGTCACTTCTGAGCGTTAACCCTGTATCTTGCCTTTTCGTTTGACCTTGGACTGTTTATGGTATTCTGATCTGTCTCTGCCTGCCCCGACTTGGATTGTTCTTCTACTGTGTCTGTCTGCCGCCTGCCTCGACCTCCTGCCCGTCCCACGTTTCTGTCTCAGCCTAGCCCACACTGTTGTATCTACTGGTGATTGACCCTGTCTTGTCTGGTTACGCAATAAAGAACGCTGCAAATGGATCCCGACTCTGATGATGATTCGCAACAAATGTGTCTTATTCTTTTAATATGATGTATTTGGTGTGCAAACGAGTGTTCATTTTCAATGCAGTTTAGTGACACAAATGGAAATGACAAGAGAGTCTGTTGGCAAACAATGTGTAATGGGTTCATTACCCTCCAGACTGACATTCCCCTGAGGAGGATGCTGCAGGTCCAGCAAGCCTCCTGTGGGTGCCGGAGCCGTCCTGGGACTCCTGTCCTCTGGAACGGGCCAGCCTTGACTCCTCTGGATCTCATTAGAGAAGCGAGGCACGTACACGGGGATGTTCTCAGGCACGACCTGCACGAGAGGCGGAGGCAGCGGCTCTCGTCTGTGATTCCCGTACACCTGCAGGCATCGCTCCTCCAAAGCTGCGATCAGCAGCGACTGGTTATTGACCAGTGCGGCCAGCGAGGAGAAGCGCACCTCCAGCTCCCTGTAGAGGGCAGACAACCGCAGCGCCTCTGTCGTGCTGTTGAGGATCCGTCCCTCCAGCTGCACCAGCTCCAGTGAATTATCACGCTTGCGAATGATTTCGTGCAGCAGCTGCATGTAAAGCTGTGTGACGCGGGAGTTCATGTTGCGCGACTCTTTGCGTAAAAGTTTCATTTCATTGACCATGTTTCCATCCACGTCCACGATCATCCGGAGTGTGTCCATTTCACGTCTCTGCTTGGTCAAGAGCTCCCGGACATCAGCTATGTCCGACTGCGTCACACGCTCTTTATCTGGGAGAGAAGGGCCCTGGCTGGCACAGATCGGCCCTGTGATCTTCTGCTCTGGGACCAAGAATGTATAAGAGCACTTTCTCGGGGCCCCATTGGCTGCATCCTCTACAAGCCTCCGCTTTCGGCTCAGGACGGGCCCTTTGTATGCACTCTTGCTCCGTGCACATGTGAGGATGCAGAGAAGGACGCAAAAGATCCAGGCATGAGGACTCATAGCAGCAGAGAAGAGATCTAGCCCATGAACTCTGAGACAAAACGAAAACATATAGTCATATAGTCTGTAGTTATGGTGCTGTACAACTGTGGCTCAGATTTGATAGGGTTGGACGGTAACACGATAATTACTACTGATTCATCATTACACATTTCACTCAAAAAAAATAGGTGTTTTGAACAATGTTCATGCTATGTTTTCCATGCAATGACAACACATTTGTCAAGCTCCAAAAATGGGGACTTGTGCTTACAGTCTATTGATTCTTTAATTTTAACACCAGTCCAACTGTGGTCTAACTTATAATTTGGGTCATACACTAGATCTTGTGGTTTTCAATTTCAGTTTTGGAGGTTATTGAGGCATGTATGTTTGACCACTATACAGTTGTGTTTGAATCTAATTGCTCTCACCCTTTCTCTCAATTAATCCACCAGTTCCTAGCCTTTACGTTTGTCTTGTGTCTTGTACTTTAACAACTATCTCCTCCTATTAGTTGTCTGTCTCATTTCCAACCTGTATCTTTAACCAAGTTTGCTGATGCAATCTAAATGTTCTGGCTCCAAGTTAAATATTGTTATTGTTGGACATTTATAAAGTCTTTTTAAAGATGTTTATTCTACTATTAGTCTTAGGGTGTAAGCTGTAGTAAACAGCTCTCTAGCCAAAGGCTTTGTTCCAGCTAGTTTTAAACATACAATTGTGCAACCTCTGCTTAAAAAAACTCAACTTGATCCTGCAGCAGAAAGTAAACTACCCTTTATTTCAAAGCTTCTGGAAGAAGTATTTTTGTCTTTTTTGAATTCTTTTAACATATTGGTCATTTCAATCTGGTTTTAGATCCCTACATAGCCCTGAGTCAGCTCTGTTAAAGGTCACAAATAATATTTAGCTTGCTCTGGATATTCTTCACTAACGTCATATGGTAGGTATCTAGGGCACTGCACAGGATTTGCTTCTTACCTTGAGAACAGCACCTTTTCTGTAAATTTGGGATTTTTTTCCTTCATCATCTGCTCTCTTATTGTGTGGCATGCCCCAGGGATCCGTTTTGGGACCTTTATTATTTCCCTTTATATGCTTCCTTTTTGACTACATTCTTCAGGAATATAATATTGTTTATCACTGTTTACCTTCCAGAAAGGCCAGACACTACATTTTCATTTAATGTCTTGTTCAAGTGCATTAAAGATATTTAGAGTTGGATGGTGAATGATTTTTCACAGCTAAATGAAGATAAAACAAATGTTTGATCTTATGTTGTTCCTAAAAGCCCAGTTAGGCAAGGCAAGGCAAGGCAAGGCAAGTTTATTTGTATAGCACATTTCATACACAATGGTCATTCAAAGTACTTTACATAAAATAAAATAAAAACAATAATCACAACAATAAAACAAGGAATTTAAAAACTTTGAAAATTATTTTTGGGGATGTGCTAATCGCCTTCCTGATATTATTGATCTTTTCAGAAAAGAAGGAAGCAAACTCATTGCATTTGCTGTCTGAGAGCATTTCACTGGCAATCTGACTTGGGGGGTTTGTCAGTCTCTCAACAGTAGCAAAAAGAGTGCGAGTGTTGTTTAAGTTACTGTTTATAAGGTTTGAGAAGAATGTCTGTCTAGCTTTGCCTAGTTCCACATTGAAAGCATGAAGGCTGTCTTTATATATGCTATAGTGGATTTCAAGTTTCGTCTTCCGCCACATCCGCTCAGCTTTTCTGCAGTTAGGTCCACTCTAAACCAATTTACAAAAACCTTGGAGTGATCTTTGACTTCTTTGACATGACATCTATTGCGAAATTAAAGCATATTCTGTCAAGCAAAGATTTGGAAATAGTCATCCATGCATTAGTAATCCATTACTGTGATTCAATCTATATCATCTCGCTCACAAGTTGTTAAAAATGCAGCCTCAAGGCTTTTGACATGGTTTAAAAACAGGGACGATATTTCCCTTATATTAGTGTTCCTCCACTGGCTTAAATTAAGGGTTAAATTCAGGGTTGACTAGGCTAGAGCGCTCTGATCTTCTAATTATTTCCGTCTAACTGTTCCACATTGACCACTTTGGATCAGGTTGTGTCATTTTTAAATGTGCTTTATAAATAAATGTTGTTGTTGCTGTTTCATATTCAGTCAGTCAGATTTATGAGAAGCAACAGTGTTTAGCGTCATTAACACTGGTGTAAGTCTGAATATGCTCAGGCACAAATGAGATCTGACAGCTGTGGTGGAAGGCGGGATTTTTTGTTTTACACACAGAGACTTCTTCACACAACATCTCCTTTTGTGTTTCACAGAAGAACAAAGCTCATATGGGTGACATACAAAGCTCAAATCACGACAGGATGTTTATTTTGACTATCTGTGTTTGAGGGTGGATTTTAGTGCCCAAACAGTTTTGCAGACTACATTCTGTGGTTTGTTTACCTGTCATGCTACACTCCACCTCACAGCTCAGGGTTAGGTGAGTTTGCTTTCCATCTCATTAGTGGCCCAGTGTTTCCCTTCTCTGCCCCTCAACCCTGAAAGTTTGGGTTTCTCTATAAGAAACTGAGTGACTCCTTCAGCATGCATATGGATTGGAGTCATTTAAAAGTGGAAACTTGTCTTCAAAAGGATTCATAGTTCATATATGTAATATGTAATGTTTCAGTGCTGAATGCTGCTTCATTTATAAGAATTAGTTTTTAAATGTCAGTAATGATTTAGCATCTTTAATGCAGCTTTGCTTTGAAATGAATTTAAAAAGCATACAAAAATTTTTTTTTACTCTGAGGGTATAGGTTGACTGAAGTCTTTGCCAAATAAAATGTAAAGGATTTTCTGTGCAGGAAATGAGAGAAGCGATGTAGTTGCATGTATTTGACACGAGCAGAACTGCAGACTGAAATAGAGCAGGACTGGCATGACTGATGACAAACACTGAGCAGCATTATTCCTGTGGTTTGGTGAAAATGTTCAGGACTAAAGGCTGCTTTAGTTTTTTCCATTATGTAAAATGCTTTGGCAGCAGTCTGTGCTCTTTCACAATGTCAGGAAAACAGAAGGAGTGAAGTGTTCTGTTACCATCTTGGGTCAAAGAAAATAAGTTAGGTCAAATTTTCTGTCCTGGGGCAGTAAATCAAAAGCTTCTTAGCTCATATGAATACATAAACTACTCAAATATTGCTCAGGTATGAAAAGGTTGAGTCTCAAAAGCTTTAGTAACACAATCATTAAGGATGTTTTGAAACCTAATTGCTGCTGAATTGGGAGAATCAGTTTTGGGCTTGTGTGGATGTCAGCGGCACAGCACATATGGGGTGGATATTACAAGACTTCTATAAGAATATGAGCCAAATTATTTACAAAATTCACCAAATTCACAACACTGACACTTTTCAGACTTTAACATTGTTTACATTAGTTGAATTTGACAGAACACTGATGGAAAGTAAACTATGATTCCACCAAACAACACAAGATGAAGAATTTCAGAGGTTTTGCAAATGCCACTTTTTGCTAAATTTAACAATACTAGAATGCAAACAGACTCCCAAACCAAGACAAAGCATTGGAAAAAATAAAAGAAATAAAGCTCCAGTCACTGACCTCTGCGTTCTGTCTGTCAGACTGACGATCCTCCGTCTGTTGGAGTCTCTCCTTCTGCAGATGAGCAGCAGATGCCTGCCTCTTATACTGCTCTGTGTGTGTGCGTGTGTGAGTGTGTGTGTGAGAGAGAGAGAGAGAGAGAGAGAGAGAGAGAGAGAGAGAGAGAGAGAGAGAGAGAGAGAGAGAGAGAGAGAGAGAGAGAGAGAGAGAGAGAGAGAGAGAGAGAGAGAGAGAGAGAGAGAGAGAGAGAGAGAGAGAGAGAGAGAGAGAGAGAGAGAGAGAGAGAGAGAGAGAGAGAGAGAGAGAGAGAGAGAGAGAGAGAGAGAGAGAGAGAGAGAGAGAGAGAGAGAGAGAGAGAGAGAGAGAGAGAGAGAGAGAGAGAGAGAGAGAGAGAGAGAGAGAGAGAGAGAGAGAGAGAGAGAGAGAGAGAGAGAGAGAGAGAGAGAGAGAGAGAGAGAGAGAGAGAGAGAGAGAGAGAGAGAGAGAGAGAGAGAGAGAGAGAGAGAGAGAGAGAGAGAGAGAGAGAGAGTGTGTGTGTGTGTGTGAGAGAGAGAGAGAAAGAGAGAGAGAGTGTGTGTGTGTGAGAAAGCGAGAGAGAGTGTAGGTTTAGGGGTAGGGTTGGTGTAGGGCAATAGCACATACAGTTTGTGCAGTATAAAAACCCTTATGCCTATGAAATGTCCCCATAAAACATGGAAACACAACATGTGTGTGTGTGCGTGCGTGCGTGTGTGTGATCAAAAGAGGCTGAGCAAAGATCTGCCCTTATTGCTGTTCATTTCTCAACAAAAGTCATGAGAAAGAAACTGACCTATTATGCCTCTTCATCTTCTTCTTTCAGAATGTAATAATAATGATAACGAGTGACTATGAGGAACAGAGTGGAGAGACAGTGAGGGTTAGCAGACCAACCTGCATCTTCTGATCAACCTCCAGAGAAACAGGACAGCGTTGGGTTAGAACATTAGCAAAAATCAGGACCAGTCCAGAGGACCAGTCTAATGAAGACAGCTGTGTTTTTCATCTTTAATGACAGCAGCGGGCTGCTTACAGACACTCATCCCATCACACGCCTCCCTCTGCAGTATTCAGACCTTTTCTCTGCACACACCCCTCATCATCAGAAATCTTCATTCCGGATTAGCTCACTGAAGCTTTGGTAATACAGACTTAAGCAAATCAAAACATCCAAAGAGTTGGGATCTCATTGAGCAGCTTTTACAGCCCAAGAGCTTTTCCAGCTGACGCGGTTACACTATGAAGACGTAACCGGACCAGAACATATACACCATAACAACATAACTAATGTGAGTTCATCACAATGACCAAAATTTCACCGTCACCTTTATCTTTATTAACTCGCTGCACGCACATGACTACGTTTAGCTGGAAATGTTCTAAACAGCAGCTACGCGAATTATTTTCCATTTGTTTTCTGTTTCTACCTCAGGATGTCCAGATAACCAGAGATGACAGCAGATGCAGACTGGATCCAGCCTCTCATGAAGATTTCAGATGACCACACACCTGAGAAGAGATGATGCTGACACCTGCGACGACTTCAGACGATGACAACTCTCAATCAACATACAAAATGCCCACATTTTCCTTATATTGTAATTATGACCAGAACACGTACACATTTAATTGTCATTTCTGCCATATGAACAGGGCACCTCTGATAACAGATCACTCTTAATTGTTATGTACAAACATGCATTTTCTGTAAAATTGCTTTGAAACTGTATGTATCATGAAATACAAATAAACATAAAATGAATTGAGTTGAACACTTCTCAGCTCAAGCTGTTTACCTTGAAATCCTTACAGAACTGATAAAACTCAAACATTTCATTCTCTGTAAAAAAATTAAATTATAGTTATAACAGAAATTATAATGGGTTTAACAGTTATAGGGAATTAATTGTTTTTAGTTTAGGAACAATTACATATCTGTAATGAAAGTCATTATAAACACCTAAGTTCTTATAGAAATTGGCCAAAAATGCACTACTAAACTCCAAACTAAAAGACATGAAAACATGAACAAGAAACACAACCCAAAACACCACATTACAACTGCATTCATTTATTAATCAACATTTATTTAACATTTATAAAGAGCAAAGATACGTAAACAGAACGATACAGAGATTTCTAGCACTTCTAGTAATAGTTCTTGTTCAAGAAGATGAGCATGTGAAACAATTTTTATTTTGGTAAATTTATCTGATGATATTGACAAGTTGATTAAAAGTGTGTACTTTTAAATGAATCTCTTTCTTCTGTGTGTCACAGTAGTACAACTTTTTAAGATTAGATATGTAGATACATATAGTGTGTATATTTCTGCTTTCCTTCAGTTTAAGACGTATGTCTGTTTGTATAAGCAGTGATAATGTGATGCGGTACTTTTGATGATAATTGCAATGGTACAGTAGGCTATATTTGTGTTATGAACACTGCATATCTGTTTAGATCATGTAATATAAATCTTAGAGTAAACACTGTTCAACAGAAGATTCATGTGCAATCCGTACAGTCTCTAACGTTTTATTGAAACAAACTCTTGAGATTATATACATTACATTAACATTCAATAAAATAATAGTTTCAGAATAAATACAGCAGCACTCTTAAATATGTTAAATGCATTCAGGGAGTCCATAAAGACATCATGTCTAATGTGAGGTAGACATCTGGTTTAAATACATAGTCAAATATCATAAAGCAATCAACATTGAGCTCACAAACAAATGGAACTGTTTACAGACTAATATCGGTTACTAACAGACTAACAGATACAGACTAATAACTTATGCTGTGCAAAAACAGTTATACTGAATTAAAGTGGTCAGGAAAAACCACAGCGAACACAGACGGAGGCAGAATCATAACATCATATGCTATAGAACGAACGTCGTTTACGTGGAGCGTAAAGATTTCATCTCTGAGCTTCTGAAGACCGAGATCGGGATCTTGCTGAGGTGGAGTTCTGCTGATTGCTTCTAGTTCATATTCATTCTGGTAGGATTCTGTCAAAAACTAGTTCATAAATATTAGTCACATACATAAGAATAAATATGGTATGGAAGGAAACATAAGTGAAGTGAGCTGTAGCTTCAGTTCAGTGCGTGAGCTCCTGCGGACACTGGGAATCAGACGCCAGATCCACACGGATTCTATTCCCGTTCCAGGACGACACACACCAGCATCGGGGAGGCTGGGCCTCCAGAGACGTCTCACACTGACAGACAGAGAAGAGTTAGTGTGACAGACAGAGTTAGTGTGACAGAAAGAGTTAGTGTGACAGACAGACAGAGTTAGTGTGCTGTTTCAGGGTCAGGACAGACACGCACCTGCTGGGCCTTGTAGAATCCGTGCTTGTCACAGTTGGGCAGGTAAAAGCTGGTGAACTTATCTCCTAACGTCTGCTGGGATTCAGCGATGAGGTCCAGAGCCGCGTGCAGCTCAGTGTGACACGGACCCTAGACAGCGAAGTCACAGAAACATGTCATGGCTCCACCAGAAGTACAAACCCCGGAACGACAATTAGTGGAACACAGATTCGAGTACACCTTAAAAATATTAGGCCAAAACTTAAGACTTGTGTATTTGAATTACATACCCATCCATTTGTGATTGATTGATTGATCAGATTTATGTAATAGTCCTAATAAACTAAATGTGTCTTAAATATGCAATAACCAGGTTTATGTATTTATCATCAATAAATCTAATTTGTCTCATACATTTAAGTTAATTATTGATTTTACAATGAACATATTTATGCTGATTCTAAGCAATTTGAAAAATTGAATTTTGAAAATCAAATAGATAAAAATCATAAACTCACGAGTTTTTAATTAATTAATTTAAAAAATTTTGAGTGCAGAAATTTGAATAATGTATGACCGACAAAACAGTAAAACATCATGTTAGTATAGAGGTGTTTTTTTAATATTTTGAATTCGATTTTTTTTTTTAAATAAAACCATTTTAAAAAATAAAATAATATTAATTTTAACTAAAATTGTAGTAATTTTGTTGTGTGTTTTTGCCATTTTTATTTATTATTATTATTATTTTTTTTTTAAATATGTCTATATAGTTTCTATCAATTTTTATTTCCGTTTCAGTTTGTTATTTTACTACATCGTTAAACTGCTGAGAAATGTTGCTTTGGCAACTACCTAAAATAAAATAAGTTTAAGTGTTTAAGTTTCCAGTTAAAAAATTTTTTATATATAGTTGTAGTTTAACTTTAATAACCCTGTGACAAATATGTAACATTTAAATTTATTAGTTTATGTTAAAACTGTGAAATCCAAAAGGATGGACATTTTATATGCAATTCAAATACATAAATCTTAAATTTAGGCCTAATTTTTGTTGAGTGTAGATAAATTTTGGGTGAACTATTCCTTTCACAAATACAAAGCAAACAGCTTTAAAAGTGTAGAAATTCAACAGCTTCAGCCAATAAATGTGAAGCTCTTTCCTGAACCATTACTGGATCTGCTGGTTTCAGTACCAGTTGGATCAGTTTCTTGCGGATGGCGTTGACTTTAGCCTTGATGCTCTCCTGTGCCTCCGCTGCGTCCCGCGGGTCCAGCGGCCGGTTGAGGCCCAGCAGGTAATGCAGGGAGCCCTGGTCAGACGTGACGTCCGGCTCATCTAGAAACACATTCAGAGACGAACATGAGTCCTGTGACCAATGACCTGTTGAGCACACACTCACTAATCAGAAAGGCACCTTCTGTGCGGTCGTCCTCAGTGCAGACGGCGTGTCCGCGGGTCAGAGCGTGCAGCGGCCGCGGGTCGCCGGGTCTCGGGACGCAGCGCAGGCCGGCGCCGCAGTGAGCCGTATAAACACCGCAGGACTCTCCTTTCTTCAGCGCGCAGGACGAGCAGCATCCGCAGCCCGGCTCTCGCAGCACCTCCGGACAGTCCGAGGACACGGCGGGGCAGGAGTCCAGCTGCTCCGGAGAGCATGGAGCACAGCGGATGGGTTCAGGCCCGATCACCGGAGAAAGATCCGCCGGACAGACGAGGACGCTCACCAACAACACCAACACACACAGCCTTCTCATAGCAGAACCAGAGATGTGCTGAAGCCAATATCTGCTGCTGTATGTCAGATCTGCTCTCGGTGCGTGTGTGCCGTGTTTTATACCGTGATATGATGACCTCAGAGGAGTTAATCATTGACACAGCGCTCGCCTGTATTAATTATGCTGTTTTCAGTGCACTGGTTTGCTCTGGTTGCGCAGATGTCAATATTTACTCTAGAACGAAGTGTGCGATACGGAACAACGCAACATCTCTGACCCGTTTCACCAATAACAGGTTCATGATGCTGCTGTTTATCATCTGCACTCTCAGAAAGTTAATTCTGGGGTGACACCTTTTCAAAAGTTACTATTATGCATCATTTAGGTACTGATATGTTCACTTCAGGTGCTAAAATGCACCTTTAAGATACTAATACGGTAATAAGGTACAAAGGTGTTCCTTTTGAAAAGGTACTGTCCCAGTGACAGCTTTTGTATCTTGATTTCTGAGAGTGTGTGTAATAATGTAGCATGTAATTAGAGATTAAAACACATATTTGCCTGTCACACAACAGGAGTTATGAGAGCATGTCTCAGATGTGTTTTTGACCACACTTTGAGCTGGGTTACAAAAACAAGGTCATGTGGTCATTGCATAACAGGACGGGTTAATCTGAGGTCTTCAGCCATCATAACATGCTTTTCATGAGGTGCCTGTGCAGTAATTAAGGGTTCCTGGTGTAGTATTAGTCCAACTTTGGACACTAAGATCACAAGATGCTTTAGGCTCAACCAATAGCTCAAGTCCGTTTGAAGACATCAGATTCATTAATGATTGAATCAAGCTTTAATGGTGAGCACATCTTATGAGTTCAAGCTTTGCTTGTCATCTCAAACAAATACGGCTGATGTTCTTCAGGATTGCTGTAGGTCCATCAGTGCCTATACGCACACATGCCACGAGCACATCATTTACACAACACCCACACAAGTCCAGCCATAGATTGTGCAAGAAGAACGAAAACAGGCCACTGGAGATGGAGAATTAAACTTCTGACTTTGACTTTGGTTTGCGAAATAAAATATGGAAAAATTACTAATACAAATGACGACCTCAGATGTCAAGAGAGACGAAATTCTCAGCAGAAGATGTGTCTGCTGTGTCCACTTCCCTTCGGGTACCCTAGCAACCGCATAGCAACACCCTAGCAACCGCCCTGGGTACCCTGGACTCTGTCTCAGGATCTTCATTCAACGGTCAGCTCGTGTGTCGTGGCCACGCATCAGATTGACCTGCAGAAACACAGATTAAACCAGTGATGCCCAAAGACGGCCTTTGAGCTGCCCCACAATGCCAAAAATAAGAAGAAACATGCCATTGAAGCATGTCTTCATTTCTAATTTATATTTTTGTTTGTTTTATTTTTGCATTGTGAACAATTTAAGCAAACAACATAAAATGTGTTAAAAGCAATAACCTTTAAATAGTGTTTTAATCAAAACAAGAAATCTGGGCATTTCAATGTTTTAGAAACATTTCAAAACAAAACCAAACAATGTTCCCATAATTAATTAACGCTCTTTTTTTAAACTTGGGGCACCTAGATATTTCTCTAAACACACTACACGTTAACTTAGCAGTTTAACCCAGAGATGTGAGCGCTGCTGACCCGTTGGCTTCAGTGTGTTTCTATATGAACGCTACGGCGTTTGGTTGGATCTCACACACCCTGAGAGACGACTGCAGGACTGAATGATCTGCTGAGATAGACGAGGATTTTCTGGTATCTAGCAGGTTGCTATGAGCTCTGCTCTTCAACGAGAACGTCCTTCAGCTGCTTAAATAATACAAAAAAACAATTGTTTAAAATCTAAAATGTCAGGGTGATACAACTGTCCTGAAATCATAATGAGAAAAGAACGAAAATTAAAAATGAAATTCCTGAAAAGTAAGTAGTTTGGCATTTGCATTTATTTTTAATTCTTGGAAAAAATATTTTATCAAAACAGCTTCACTGCTCATTAATATTTTAAAAAGTTGTGTGCTGCGACTAAAAATTAAAAATGAAATTCCTGAAAAGTAAGTAGTTTGGCATTTGCATTTATTTTTAATTCTTGGAAAAAATATTTTATCAAAACAGCTTCACTGCTCATTAATATTTTAAAAAGTCGTGTGCTGCGACTACTGAAAGATGCATAAGATGATCCTGAGGATTGTCTCTTCAAATATCAGACAAAGAATATCAGGCAAAGTTAGCTCAGTTTAGATTGTGCAACTGCTCAAGCATAACGTTACATTGACAGTTCTCTTAAATTGTATAAAAATTGTGCATTTCTAAGAACTTGGCACATGAAAGATGATGAAAACACACTTACAAATGAGTCAATATTGTGTATATGTTTTTGATGACTGACACGTTTACAAATAGCCTTTTCTTCCGCATTTATTTTAAGTGTAATAATGCATGTAGAATCTGATTAAATATCTGCAACATCACAGCGTGATTCATTACTGAATCCATTTAGTGCAGTGGTTCTTAATCCTGGTCAGGGACCCACTGCTCTGCACGTTTCTCCCTTATTTGACACACCTGATTCAGATCATCAGCTCGTTAGGAGAGAGATCCATGAGCTGAACTGAGCCTCTCAAATAAGGGAGACATAAAAATGTGTGAGATCCGCAAGAGCAGGAGAACCTAAGAACCACTGATTTAGTGTGATCATGTTCTCATTATGAATGTGGAGAGATGGAATCCAGTGACTCGAGTCAGCATCGCTGTCATTAATATGACATTAAGTCATTGAGAATTAATTAATATGACAGCAGAAGTGTGTAAAGGGGTTTGGTCTTGTAATGCTGGGGTGAATGCAGACAACAAGAGAGGATCCAAATGCAGACATAAATTTCAACAATAAATATCATCATCATCAGATACAACACACAGGAACTAGGAAACATAAAAAACAGAACTGATCAAACTCAACAAGCAGCCATAGAAAGACAAGACCAGACGATAAACACAGGAATCATAGGGCTTATAAACATGGGGTTAAGAGGACTGACTAGATGCACCAGCAAACAATCCAGGGAACAAAGCAAAACTACAAACTAAAAGACTACAAAACAAGTACACACGGAACACAAACAGGAACGACACATTTATGCCTTAAGTGTCACACAAACAGGAAATCACTAAACCGTTGTACTTCAATACTCGCTTTATTACAAAATCTTATATTGCTCAGGTTTGCACTGTTCAAAGGACAGTATATCATACATCGTTGTATTTACAAAATACACTTCTGAATATCAAAGAGCTAAAAGGCAACTGACTTCAATCACCGCAAGCGTGTCAAATAAGGCAAGAATACTGTATTGACAGTACAAGAGAGCGACTGAGAGATCGATTCATACCCTGAAGAAAAGCGTCATGATTCAAAACATCAGCATGAAAATAAACATTTGCCATAGAAATATAGAAAGAGTCATTGTTTCTCCTCACAAACAGTCTCAGAGTTTTGTGCTTGTAAACACACACCAGTCTACAGAGATCTGTGTGTGTGTGTGTGTGTGTGTGTGTGACGCAGCGTTCCTCATGGGCGGGTTGTTGACCTCCGTGTCAGTAGATGGTCACTGTACTCTTGTGCCCACATAGACTACACATAACTGACCTCGTTAACATCAAGCCATCCGCCTCACTCAGGTAACAGTCTCATCATGAGTCTGCACATAGCTCTCTAACAGCATAAAGCATAGTATTTGATAGTTTCAGTCACGTTTCATCTGCATGTGAATGTGATGCTGATATTATTACAGTGAATGCTGATGACAGAATCGTGTCCGATCATTGCACTTCAGATTGAGATTCGATATAATTGGCACATGTTCAGCCTGTGGAGGTTTGTCCCTGCTAATCACACACTTTATCACTACATACACACACCTGACACCACACTGACAATCAATCTGAGATTCAAAACATCCTTTAAATCATTTAAATAAAGTTACAACATTTAATGAATAGCCAGCTGACAAAAATAAGTTCTACGAGCGTTATGTTAACATTCCCGTTAAGGTATGAAAAAGATATTTGTAATAAAAAATTCAAATAAAAGTCAAAAATGTGAAACTGAATGCAGTGTCAGATGTTTGGACTCCACAGTATGCATGAATATAGATGTCAGATTTTTGTTTATAGTTTCAGAACAGTCTGTCAGAGTGACTGCAGCCGAGGATGATGATGATGATGATGATGAAGAAGCTTTCTTTAGGCTGTTATCAAACTCCCTGATTTCTCTTGTTCTATATACACATGCTGCTTTGAAACAGTTTATACTTATATATTTATAATATTATTATTATTTTCTGAAATCAGAGTACAGGTGTAAATGTGTCATCAAGATAGAGCTCTTTGATTTCTCCAGTCTCGCTCTGTCACGTGATGAAGATGAAGAGTGTGTGAGAGTGAATGAATACGAAATCACAATCTAGTGCACTGATGCAGAGCATGTCCTGCTTCTATTGCTGCTCTATGAGTTATAAATGCATCTCATTCACACGCTATCACACTCATTCAAATGCACTGGAGAGTTCAATACAAAAAATACACAAACTCTGATCGTAAGAACATCTACTATGTACAGCTCATATAAGAAGTTGGCATAAAACTTGAGAGATGACACATTGCTGAAGATCATGCGAGGCTCTGAACGCTCCTGCAGCGCGACAGAATCAGCGTGGAATGGCATTCCCAAGCCCAAATTCCATGATTCGACTGGGAAAGAAATGCAGGACAGTACCTGAATTTATCCAGAAGAACTGATAAAAGTGACCAAAGAAGACGGTCTTTAAAAGAGCGTGCAGTGAAGATCCGTTCACGTGTTTTGAGAAGGTGAATAAAGGGAAGACGGTTCATTCTTTCCACCTGCAGACGTTATCCTCTTCTGTGTCTTTAATGGTAAAGAAGTGTGTGTGTCGTGTGCGACCGGTCCTACATCTCTCCCTCTTTGCCCTCCTGCTCTTCTCCGACCGTAGGCACATGAGCGGCGCTGTGTCCGCGTGTCCCAGGAGAGCTGCTGCTCACGAATCCCGAGGCCACAGACGAGGTGCTGCTGGAGCGGGCGATGGCGTGAACCCTGCGCTCCAGGCCGCCGGTGTGATGCGGTGCTCGGTTCCCCGCGTCCTGCGCTTTACCCTCCAGGAAATATGTGAGCATCTGACCTTTGCCCTTCACGCTGACATTGCCACGACACACCAGATCATAGTCGCTCTGAAGCAGACGGTACGCTTCCTCCGTCACCTGGAAGATCATGCATATTCAAATCAATACACTACACATACACATTCATTTGTGCATGCTTGTGTAATTATGTAGGCATATTCCAGGTCCATATTAACATGCACTGTAGGTTATTTAGCATTATAAAACAGATAGTTCCGGTGCTTGATTCTGATTGGCTGAGCCGCATTCGAAGCTGTTGTAAATGACTCTACAAAGTAACATACACCTTTGTTTACTTCTGTGTGTTGCTCGGCAACCACTTTGTTGCAACCACAACTGTTTCTGAGGAGCTACATTGTTTGGTGGAAGAATACTGTTTTTATTAATATCATTACACTTTATTTGCTCTGTTTTATTCTGTGAAACCTTACTACGTATATGGAATAACCGTTTTATAAAAGCAATAAGCCCCGTGAAGTCGTGGTTTACAGTGAATTTGTAACAGCTAAGAATTTATGTTATAAATTCACTGTAAACCACAGCTTCTTGGGGCTTATTGCTTTATAAAGAAATAAAGCCAGTTCAGAACCATGTTTTATCATGACATAATGAGCACAAATTCTCACTACTGTTATGCCTATGTATGTTTTACTGAGGTTGTTAGTAAGTCCTATTATTATCAATGGCTAAATCATCACAAATGAAAGAAGGTACAATAAATGCTACATGATGTATACATTTAATTAAAAATAAATTTAATAAAAAAATTTTTGCATTACAATAATGACCCTTCCAGGGGGAAAATACTTTATTGCTATGCAAACAACATCACACTATAAAAATGTAAATAGTCCTAAAAACAGGCTTTACATTCTTCATGCAAAATGTATTTTTTCTTTTGATTTTGACATTTGACATGGGCATGTTTTTGGTGAAATTCACCCATGAAAACATGTATCATATATCATATGCACTCTAAAAACTTAAACTATGATGTGAAACATTTTACATTAAAAATACTGAGTGAATTTTAAAGGAGTAAAATCAATTAAATATAGCATATAAATTGAGTAAATGCAAGTAAAAATTGCAGTGAATCTGAATAACTATTTTTGTGACAATGACAAATAAAATTGAGTAGACGCAAAAAGTTACGCTAACTCAAATATTTTGAATTTAAAACCAATATTTAAAATTCATGTGACCTTATTTCATTTGAATCTTAATTATTAACACATCTCCTGCTATATTTATTTTGTGCAAAAACACTTAATTTCAACATTAACTCTCCTTAAAGTCTGTATCAAAGCATGCTGGGAAATCCGTTTTTTAGGCATTTATTTAGGTATGTCCAGCTCTCAGAGAATGCATGCATTATTGTGATATTCACAGTCACAGAATTATCTTTAGACTGACTGTAGTACCTGTATCTTCCCAGGCACTCCGGTGCTGTCCATGCGGCTGGCCACGTTCACCGTGTTTCCCCAGATATCATACTGCGGCCGGCGGGCCCCGATGACCCCGGCCACCACCGGACCCACATTAATACCTGAGCATTCACACATAAAGCATCAGAAAACATCCAGAACATTCACTGAGGATACAGAGCCAGCAGAAGGGTTGTGAAAACGTCCTTTACAAATGGTAGGAAAACTGCAGGTTTGCTGAGGGAGTTGCTCTGTAGACGGCAGTGTAAATGTATAAGAGCTTACCCACTCTCAAGACAAAATCATTATATGACTGATAGTTGATTTCATCGAGAACGTCAAACATCTCGATGGCGAAGTCTGCGATGGTGCTCAGGTGCTCAGCAGGGGATTTCTTTGCCTGTAAAGGAGTAAATGAATCATGTTCTCAGATGCTCTGTAAGTATTACTCTGCATTATGTCCAGTGTAGCTGAATCAGTGACCTTGGTTCCGATGGTGGGCACCAAACCCACCGCTGCCATGTACGTGCTGCCGATGGTCTTGATCTTCTCAATGTCTTTATAACACTCGTTATCCATCAGCTGCAACACGGAGATGAAATGGTTTCAGAGCAGGGTTGAAAAAAAAAAGTTGCTTGAAATAAAATCAATGTTAACTGAAACAGTGTTATTTTAGTATCATTGAGATACTATTATAATATTTGTTAATATTTTGAATTAGATTATATTTTTATATTTTCAGCTTTTATGTTCAAGTTTTATTTTTTTAAGTTTTAGTAATTTTGTTGCTTGTTTAGACATTCTTGTTTAGTTTTTGTTTTAAAATGTTTATATATTCTTTATTAAGTTTTATTCCAGATTTATTTAGTTATTTAGGTACATCAAGTTAGACTAAATAAAAATGAGAAATGTTGCCTTGTTAACTAACTGTAATAAAATAAGTTTACGTTTTTTATATTTTATTTCAGATAACATTTATTTTAAGTAATGAAAATGTGTTTTTATGGTTTTAGTTAACTATAATAACCCTGAACTGAAATGAAATAAAATAAAATATAGTGGCCAAGGCAACATTTCTCATATTCATTTAGTTGAACTTAATGTTTTAAAATAACTAAAACTTAAATAAAAATCTAGAAAAAATAACAAAAACACACAACAAAATTACTAAAACGAACTAAAATGGAAATGAAAATGGAAAATAAGCAAATAAAAATCTAATTCAAAATTTCTAAATTACAGCAAGGGAGATGACCTCGTCGAAGTCGGCGATGATCTCGTTGAGCAGCCGCAGACACTCGACACCCATGTTGTTTCCGTCCAGCTCGATGTAGAAGTCATTAAAGTTGGGAATGGAAGCGAACAGCACCCCGACCTGAGCGTAGGACTGGTAATACAGATCCTGCCACACCACAAGCACACAATCAGCTCTGGGATCATGATGCACAACATCTCCATCGAAGCTCTCAGCAGCTGATGACGAGGCGAGCTCTCACCATGTTTCTGGGGTTAGACAGCAGGAAGTGTTGAGCCACATGAACCGGCAACAGGTTGAAGAGGATTCTCTTATTGTCCAGTTTGACTTTCTCCATGCCGTCTCTCTCCTCCTCTGCCTGAACACGCACACGCGCACGCAGTCTCTCACCCCAAGGAGCGTCTGAATCCGCTGAGCTCCAGCACAGTGATGTACAGCACCAGCAGCAGCAGCAGCAGCAGGAGTTTAGACAGCCAGGACACTCGCAGGAACAGCGCCACGGTCAGCGTCCCCAGCATGCAGCACAGAAAGGCGTACTGCGCTCCTTCACACGGCAGCTCCGCCATGGTGCGGTTCAGCCCTGCGGACACGTCGATGATCACGATGGAGCGCGTGGAGTTAGTCGGCCAGAGCCACGGCATGCAGCCCACCTGACACACACACAGAGACGGGTTCTTAATGTATTCAGAACATTTCTTCTTGGTTATATTTGACCCTCTAACTCTAGCACTCTCTATTCTAAATCTAAGAAACACTTGATCCTCTAACACTAGCGTTCCCTATGTTCCCATGTGCATGTGTTTTGAATCTCTTCGATTTGATCAGACTGACTGAACCTGCACGCTAATATCAGATCAGCAGTGAGTGCAGTGATGTAAGAGTGCGTTACCACACAGGCCTGGGCCATGGCGTATATTAAGAGCACTATGAACACACTCAGGACGGTCCGGATCTGTATGCTGAGGCACCCTGGAATACACTGAGACACACAGACAGATATTAACAAACACACATGATGGAAGATCAGCTTACAAAATATGAATTAGTCAAGTTACAGTCAAGATTTACCCTTTTTTTTGCATTACCCTTTTAATGCAACTTTATATAGATATCATTTACAGCCACCGTATAAAAACCTTTACTGCACTACACGCTAAGAAAATCATATTTAGGGCCAGATTTACTAACAGCTTGCAGCTGTACAAACCATCTTTTGGCGTTAAAAACCTACTGTCAAGATTGACTGAAGACACTAAAGGCAAAGAAAATCTGTTTTTACCTGAACTCTAGTGATGTGCAGATATACGATACACACAACCAGAAAACAGATGCAGAAGACCAGCAACACCAACACGACCGTCCCCCTGAGAACAACAACACATGACATGAAAATAACCATAAATGCACAGAAGAGTGAAGACTGTGAGGACGCCTGCTTCTCACGTACACGTCAACATGAACGCATTTCCTTCATCTGCTCGGATGATGTGCTTTAGTTTCGCTGTCTGACGTGGCTATTACTGTGCTATTTAACATTTTTTGACTTCAGAGTGCCAGACATAAGGTATGGGCGTTTGTTTCTGCGCAACTGCGACTTTTTATCATGCAATTCTGACTTTTTTCCTCTGATTTTTGAGTTTACATCATGCAATTCTAACTTTTTTCCTCTGATTTTTGAGTTTACATCATGCAATTCTGACTTTTTTCCTGATTTTTGAGTTTACATCATGCAATTCTGACTTTTTTCCTCTGATTTTTGAGTTTACATCATGCAATTCTAACTTTTTTCCTCTGATTTTTGAGTTTACATCATGCAATTCTGACTTTTTTCCTGATTTTTGAGTTTACATCATGCAATTCTGACTTTTTTCCTGATTTTTGAGTTTACATCATGCAATTCTGTTTTTTTTTCTGCCATAGAATCAAAAACGAAAAAGGTAATTGCAACTTTTAAGGTTTTAAAATAAAAAACGACTTTTTATCTCACACTTCAGAATTTTTTCTCACAATTGCAGAATTTGGACTTCTCAGAATTGTGAGTTTATTTACCTAATAATCATGCTGGAACAGAAACGGAGCCTCGACAAACTGCTGTATGAATGTCTGAAACACTGCATTCTCTGGAATATCACTGTATGTGTGTCATGCGTTTGTTGTGTTTTGGTTTTGTTCTCCCTCTCACTATTTGCCTTTTTTTTTTTTTTTAGCTCTCCTTCATTGTTTGTTGAGATCTGCTTTCACTGAAATAACCAAACCTGTAACTAGAAGGAAGTGTTTCAATACGTCTGAGCATGCGTGTGTTTCTGTGTCGCTGTGATGGAGTGACGCTCTGCTGTACGTACAGTGGCATGATGAGCAGGTAGAGGATGCCGATCAGAGCCGTGAGGACGAGAGACAGAAGCACAGCGCCGGTGAAGTACTCGTCATTCAGCTGATGATACTGCAGAAACACAGCACACAGCACGCTCAAACATAAACGTGCTGAAAAACACAGACCACTTACAGCAGATCAAATACACATCATTCAGCTCGTTCCTGCAACTAACCGTGCAATTCAAACTTTCCTGAAACTTTAAAAAAGCATGTTTTGGGAACGTTCCCAGAACATTCCGTGAACCAAAATTTGGGGGATGACTGAAGTTTACACTTTGTCCTTACCAGACGTGACACAACACGACACCTGATAAAAGGTGGAACAATACCATACAAACTATGACTATATATGGTTTATTTAATGTTAAAAGGGTCTAATGTGAGTTTAAATACCTTTATAGCCATTCTAAATGTGAGATCAGATCTTGAAAATAAATGATAGGAAACAGGTACTTTTAAACTCACTGTAATCAAACAAGTGCATTCCACGACAATGAGTGCTTCAGTCATTCAGTGTGTGTTTTTTTAACAATGTTAAAATGGTTTAATAATTAGGAATTTGTTGATGTACTTTCATTTTGTTGTGAGTGCAGTGCACTTGCAGAGAGAGACCCGCCCACATGCTCTTCTGATTGGCTGATTGATTTTGTCATGTCTGGTGTGGACCATAGACTGTATAAAAACATGGACGTAGTGTCCGTGACGTCACCCGTAGGTTTCCGAAGAGCGTTTTTGAAGCCTAAAGTAGGCGGAGCCAGCCATCGCCATCTTGGCAGCGCGTCACCACTCGTCACTCCCGGATAATCGAAAATGGGCAAAGAGGCGGGAGCTGGTTGTTGAAGCCACACCCACCTAGCTCGACGGTGGTGACAGCAGCGGCAATCCACCTGTCACTCAAGTGGCCACGCCCTTAATTATGCAGAACTTTAAGGCTTAATATAATTTAAACGGATGAGTTATAAAAAAATTCACCGCCCTCACAGTTGTCATGAAGGGCAAAATTAACTATATAGACCAAAATCCTTTTTTGTACCAGGCTGTAAACATTTTTTTTTCTGCTGTAAAGTTGGGCATTTTAACATGGGGTGTCTATGGGACTGACTCTCTTTTGCAGCCAGCCTCTAGCGGCCAGTCGATGAATTGCAGTTTTAGTCACTTCCGTGTTGGTTTCACGAGAGAGAGAGGGAGGTTGCCGCTTGGTGTGGACAGACAAATTACTTGTGCACTACATTCTTATTTCATCTTATTCTGGTTAGGACTCAGTGTTGCAGTGTTTGAATGACAGAGGCTCGAGGCCCTATGTCTGTAAAACCAGTGCTTATAGTGGCGTCATATACTATAATCTGCATCATACTACAGTAACTCAGACACATGCATCAACAACAGGCCAGTTTAAGCTCCGCACGTGGCGCGGTGACACTGGCTCTCACCCTGCGCTCTCGCTCCGAGTCTCTGAAGGTGAGCGTGAGGTAGTGCAGGTCGGCCGTGTCGGACTCCGTCTGCCGGGCCTCGATCAGACGGCTGATGTAGCGGTTGACCCGTGTCCCCGGGCTGCTCGGAGCCGCGTTAGCCGCTGTGGAGGAACGGTTCCTGAGCTTCTCCGGCGCGGAGCGCAGCACCCTCCTCTGCCAATCACAGACACGATCACATGACCACATGATGAGGCTGTGAGAGTGACAGCATGACATCATTCAGCATTGATTTTCTCAGTGTATCGTACCTTGTCCCCGTCCTCACAGCTCATGACGCTGGAGAAGGGAATCTCGGCCTTGAACATCTTGCGGCAGTGCATGAGCTGCACCAGCAAGTAACACACCGTCTTAAACTTCATCTTTTTGGCAGGTTTGATGTCTGACAGGATCAGACCAGGAAAAATCTGGAAAAGAAAACAACTCAAATCATGTCAGTCATATTCACAATAATAACAGTCTGTGAAGCACAGCTATCATTTGTAAATTCATGCTGTATTCTGAAATGACACTAAGTAACTTTTTGTGGAGAATTTATAGTAACAAATAAAGCCAAACTGTACATCTACTGTACACTGAACGCTGATAATTCATTTTTGTAGTTAATGTATAGTTGACCATTGTTGTTATTTTTGTAGTTTGTTGATGACTGTGATCATATACTACGGCATGAATAAATGCACCCAAGTGACAAATTTAGGTTATAAAAACATTGTGAGAACATTGTTTTTAAAAATTGCAGTCACACTTTATTTTATGGTCCAGTTCTCACTATTAACTACGACTTTTGCCTCATTAAATCCTAACTTGCTGCTTTTTAATAGTTAAGTTTATGTGTGAGGGTTAAGGGATCTAGATTATGGTCATGCAGAATAAGGCATTAATATGTGCTTTATAAGTACTAATAAACAGCCAGTTTGCTAGCAATATGCATGCTGGTTAATAGTGAGAATCGGTCTTTAATATAAAGTGTTACCAAAATGACTAAAACATTAAAATTTCCAGTTTTCTTGTTGTGATTATAACGTTATTTAAAAGTTAGAAAATGTTTCTTGAAATATTCTACTAACTTTTCACCCAAAATATAACATTATATGTATATCAAACATTAAAGAATGTTCCATAGACATTACTAAAGAATGTTTTGTCCTGACATTGATGTATCTCTAAAACACGAGAAGGTTCCCAGTAAAGCGCACACACACCTTCCTGCGGTGAGATGGCACTATGAAGAAGGTCTCGATGTCGTGTTTGAGCAGGAACGAGTGTCTCTCGCGGCCGTTTCCCGGCTCCACCTCGTAATCTCCATTCAGACAGTCCAGCGTGGCGCGAGTGATGTGCACCTTCCTGTAGAACAAGCAGACGAGAGGACAAACAGCTCTCAGACAGCTCAGGGTTCTGGAGAGGAGTGTGATGCTGATTGCTTGAGATCCTCACCCCGGCAGTCCTCCAGCCTCCATCACGTTGGCCAGCGTCACATCATTGGACCACACGTCATACTGCCACTTTCTGAGGCCCAACACGCCACAGAGCACCCGTCCCGTGTGCAGACCCACACGCATGTTCAGATCCACCTCTGTAGCTTCAGCCACCGATCTGAAGAACACAATCACGCTCACCAGCTCAGAGTCTGAATGCAGTTTTTCTGTCACTGTCACTCACCTGATGAGCAATGAAGATTCACATGACTATACTATTTACACTAGCGATCAAACGTCTGGAATAAATCTGATTCTTTAATGTTTTTGAAAGAAGTCTCTTCTGCTCACTGAGCCTGCATTTACTTGATCAAAAATACAGTGAAATATTATTACAATCTAAAACAGCTGTTTTCTATGTGAGTATCTGTTAAACTGTAATGTATTTCTGTGATGCGCAGCTGTATTTCCAGCATCATTACTCCAGTCTTCAGTGTCACATGATCTTCAGAAATCATTCTAATATGCTGATTTGCTGCTCGAGAAACATTTCTGATTATTATCAATGTTGAAAACAGTTGTGCTGCACAATATTTGTGTGGAAACTGTGATGCATTTTATTTTTCAGGATTCACAGATGAACAGAAAGCTCAAAAGAACAGCATTTTTTTGAAATAGAAATCTTCTGAAATAAAAACACTGTCACTTTTGAGCAATTTAATGCATCTTTGATTAATTAAAAAAAAAGAAAATTGTGAATGGTAGTGTATCACGGTTTCCACAAAAATATTGTGCAGCACAACTGTTTTCAACATAATAATAATCAGAAATGTTTCTTGAGCAGCAAATCAGCATATTAGAATGATTTCTGAAGATCATGTGACACTGAAGACTGGAGTAATGATGCTGAAAATACAGCTGCGCATCACAGAAATACATTACAGTTTAACAGATATTCACATAGAAAACAGCTGTTTTAAACTGTAATAATATTTCACAATATTACTGTTTCTACTGTATTTTTAATCAAATAAATGCAGCCTTGGTGAGCAGAAGAGACTTCTAAAAAACGTTATTATTCCAGACTTCTGTAACCAGCAGGTGGCGCTGTCATCAAACTGATATGGTGCTGTCAGCAGATGGCTACTAAAGCACATATAAAGTTTTGTGTGATTTGTTGCTGGGTTCGACAAGAAACTCTGAAGCCCATTGACTGTTACAGCTCAGACAACAGCAGATGGAAGATTCTTCAAATGTTCTTTTGTGCTTCACAGAAGAGAGAACATTATTCATGTTTGAAGCCACACGAGGGAGAATAAATGATTATTTCTGGGTGGACGATCTCTTTAAGAAGTTACGTTTCGATGTCACTGTTTCCATAATGTACATGATCATGTCAGTGAGGTTTTATTTCAAAAGAAGTTTCAAAGATCAGCCCAAATACACAAAGACGGTTTGATATATGTGACCATGGAGCACAAAACCAGTCATAAGGGTCAATTTTTTTTTAATGAGATTAGATTTATTAGATTTATTAGAATAAATCTAATAAAATTAGATTTATACATCATCTGAAAGTTGAATAAATAATCTTTCCATTGATGTATGGTTTGTTAGGATAGGACAATATTTGAAAATCTGGAATCTGAGGGTGCAAAAAAATCTAAATATTGAGAAAATCATCTTTAAAGTTGTTCAAATGAAGTTCTTAGCAATGCATATTACTAATCAAAAATTAAGTTTTGATATATTTACGGTAGGAAATTTACTAAATATCTTCATGGAACATGATCTTTACTTAATATCCTAATGATTTTTGGCATAAAAGAAAAATGTATAATTTTGACCCATACTATGTATTGTTGGCTATTGCTACAAATATACCCCAGCGACTTAACACTGCTTTTGTGCTGCAGGGACACATATGAGAAATCTTTCAACAGCTTTTTTCCACACGGTTCTGATGATGATTTGGTGAAGATTCAACAGTCACTCTAGGAACAGTACATTTCATAACATTCATAATCATAATTCAGATTGTCACTGAAACAATCCTCAGACACATCAGCACTGAAGCTTGTGGAAATCTCCTCACAGGAGCGACTGGGGAAGCAGTATACGTGTATATATGCACATATACGTGTGACTGAACACCAGATTTACAGAGGAACTCATCATGCTGCTGCCCTTGAGAAGAGCCTCCATCAGCGGCTCACACTCACGTGATGGTGTCGATCATGTCCAGACCCATCTCCACGCAGCAGTGAGCGTGATCCGTCTTGGGCTGCGTCAGGCCAGACACACAGTAGTAGCAGTCGCCCAGAATCTTGATCCGCCGGCAGTGATTCTCCTGCAGATGAACAGAGGAGGGAAAGCTTTACAGCTGCAACTCTGCGCCTGATGCACACCACGAGCGTCAGCAGATATAAGGACTGTCATGCTTGATTTGATGTGATTTCTGACAACAGTATCAGTGTACATTCACTCTGCATATCTCTGTTTGTCGAGCCTCTGTTGAAACTATTGGCAATTATGTCTTGAGCTTCTTGTACAGGGTTCATATGAGCGCAGCTTGAGTCCTGCGGTGCAAGTTCAACTTTGATGTGATACCTTGAAAAATATCAATATTCAATACTGTTTTTGATACATGGTGAAAAGCTGCTACAACATTAAGTGTATAACAACAGTATCCAAGTAAGACATTTTTGTACATTTTAAAGTTAAATCTGCTGCAATGTGATGTGATAGTCTCTCAGTCCACATCACATTCACATTAGATTTTAGCAAGCCAGATAATTTAAATATAATAATAAATAATCTTATAATGTTATTATTACTAGTATTATCTCTAAGACATAAATATGTTATATTGTAATACAACTGTGCTTTAAAATAAAAAGTGAATATTTCATTATTTTATCTTACAGTAGAAAATTACAATACTTATGTCTTAATTACGTTATTTGCAAGAGTTAAAGCCTTTTAATTTTGGCAGACATCCAGCCAAATGCTTTAATCAACTGTTCAATATTATGTGAATGTGAAAATAAAGCACTGTCGGAGAGAAAGGAAATGTAGCTGGTATCTGTGCTTCGATACTGTAGAAAAGCTATATTGAACCATTTTAAATATTTCAGTAAAAATCAACATTTTTGACAAAGCTACCACAGTCTCACAGTAAATCTCTCGTTCACGCCGTGTCTGGGGCTTGTTGATTATAACGGAAGCGCTCTGGCTCTGTTCTTTCACTTGAAGTGTTTATTAGGTGTTACACAATCTACATACAATCCCAGCTTTTCACTGGGTTTCTGCAGCTGAGGTTTCTTCATGTTCAGACTCATCAGGATGGCTGTCACTACTGAAAATGCTACAGACAGATCTGCTGAATTCTGCAGTCCTCATACTTCATGTGCAGCTTTTCTCCAGTTTTCTCTTTATATCTGAGACTGGTTTGCAGCATGTAGATTCTGTAGTTTCACTGATTTACATTAATAGCACTTTATTGTCCATATTCACATCCAAACAAAATTCTTTATTACGTTTACATTTATGCATTTAACAGATGCCTTTATCCAAAGTGACTTACAATAGGGGAAGTTGTGGTCTAATGGTTAGAGAGTCGGACTCGTAACCCAAAGGTTGCAGGTTCGAGTCTCGTGCCGGCAGGGATTGTAGGTGGGGGGAGTGAATGTACAGCTCTCTCCCACCTTCAATACCACGACTGAGGTGCCCTTGAGCAAGGCACCGAACCCCCAACTGCTCCCGGTGTGTGTTCACGGTGTGTGTGTGTTCACTGCTGTGTGTGTGCACTTTGGATGGGTTAAATGCAGAGCACTAATTCCAAGTATGGGTCACCATACCTGGCCACACGTCACGTCACTAAAAGTCACAAAAAAGCTTGAGAAGAGAAGAATCTATCTGAGTGTTTTAAACCAGCAGAAGCA